CTATAGGCTTGCCCCCACCATGCCAGATAATTTTTTGATTTTTTTGTAGAGACAGAATCTTGCTATGTTGCTCAGGCTGGTTTTGTTACAGGTATATGCCACTGGACCTGGCAAAACTCACCAATTTTAAATGTACAATTTAATGAGTTTGGACAAATATATGTAGTCATGTAACCACCACAGCAAGGGGATATAGTAGAACATTTCCATCACCTTAAAAAGTTCCTTTATGGTCTGGTATGGTGGAGCTCTCCTATAGTCCCAGCTACTCTGGAGGCTGAGGCAGGAGGATCACTTGAGCCCAGGAGTCTAGCCTGGGCAACATAGTGAAACCCCCTAAGTTCCTTTCCTTTTGCAGTCAACCTCTTCTTCCCAAACTCCTTCGCAACTACTAATGTCTAGTTTTGCCTTCTAGAGTTTCATATAAATTGAATCATAGAGTATACAGCTTTTTGTGTCTGTCTTCTTGACTTAGCATAATGCTTTTGAGATTCATCCATTTTGTATGTATTAGTAACTAGACAATTTTAATTACTGAGTAGTATTCCACTATAGAATATCACAAATTGTTTATGCATTCACCGAACTGTGGACTTTGGATCATTTCCCGGTTTTGCTTATTATAAATAAAGTTGTTCTGAACATTGGAGTACCTCTTTGTGTGGACATGATGTTTTCATTTCTCTTGGGTAAATACTGAGGATGGGATTGCTGGGTAGCATGATAAATATCTGTGTGAAAAAAAATCTATGTTTGGCTGGGCATGGTGTCCAGGGCACGCCTGTAATCCTAGCACTCTGGGAGGGCAAGGTGGGAGGACTGCTTGAGCTCAGGAGTTTGAGACCAGCCTCACCAAGAGCAAGACCCCATCTTTACTAAAGAAATAGAAAGAAGTTAGCGGGGCAACTAAAAATAGACAAAATTAGCCGTGGTGTGGTGGCACATGCCTGTAGTCCCAGCTACTTGGGAGGCTGAGGCAGGAGGATCTATTGAGTCCAGGAGTTTGAGGTTGCTGTGAGCTAGGCTGATGCCACCGCACTCTAGCCTGGGCAACAGAGTAAGACTCTGTCTCAAAAAAAAAAAAAGTATGTTTGATCTTGTAAGAAACTGCTACAATATTTTACAAAGGGGCTAAACTATAATATTTTTCATTCCCAAAGCTATGTTACTAGGGTTTGAGTTTGTCCACATCTTAATAAACACTTGGTATTATCACTCTTAAATTTTAGCCATTCTAATATATATGGATATTTCGTGGTGTCTCATTTGGTTTCAATTTGCATTTCCTTAATGGTGAATGATATGTTGGGAGTCGACTACCTCTCACTACCCTACCCAACAGAGAGACAGAGACACAGAGGATGCAAACACACAAGAGGAGTTTATTTTCTGGCTAGCCAGGGTCCAAGCCTTGAGCACCAACGCAGTGGCCACTCTGGTAGGCAAGGACCCCAACCGGGGTTACAGCGTGCCTTTTATCTCTATGGTGCATTTGCTATGCAGTGGCTGATCACGCGTGGATCATGCATTGACCTTTAACATGATTGGTTGGCTGGTAGTCCCACTATACAGGGGTTCGAACAATGCAAAGTTGGCGCAAACAAGCAAGCAAGCAACAGTTTCCATGGCAAGCAAGCAACAGTTTCCAGAAGCCGGATGTTGGTTCCGGCTTCACTGGGGGTGTGGGCCTTGCAGGTATGCAATGTCTCGACTCCTCACAGATATTGAACATATTTTCATGTGCTGATTCGCAATTTGTATATTTTCTTTAGTGAAGTGTCTATAAACCTTTTGCCTATATTCAAATTGAGTTGTCTTTTTATTATTGTATTGTAAGAGCCCTTTTTTAAAAAATTGTCTCTCAGTCTGTTATTTAAAAATTTTTGATGGAGTTCAATTTATATATCTTATTCTTCTATAATATAGTATACTTTCTGTATTCTAGGAAATATTTGCCCAACCCAAAGTCATAAATATTTTCTTCTAAAAGATTTATAGTTTTTATATTTAGATCTCTGTCCATTACAAGTTACTTTTTGTATATGGTATAAATTAAGTGTGGTGGTCTTTTTTTTTTTTTTTTTTTTTTTTTTTTTGAGACAGAGTCTCACTTTGTTGTCCAGGCTAGAGTGAGTGCCGTGGCGTCAGCCTAGATCACAGCAACCTCAATCTCCTGGGCTTGAGTGATCCTTCTGCCTCAGCCTCCCGAGTAGCTGGGACTACAGGCATGCGCCACTATGCCCGGCTAATTTTTATATATATATATATCAGTTGGCCAATTAATTTCTTTCTATTTATAGTAGAGACGGGGTCTCGCTCTTGCTCAGGCTGGTTTTGAACTCCTGACCTTGAGCAATCCGCCCGCCTCGGCCTCCCAAGAGCTAGGATTACAGGGGTGAGCCACAGCGCCGGCCCTTTTTTTTTTTTTTTGAATACAGATATCCCACTGCTCTAGTATCATTTGTTGAAAAGAGTATCATTTCTTTTTTTTTGGAGTCAGAGTCTTGCTTTGTTGCCCAAGCTAGAGTGAGTGCCATGGTGTCAGCCTAGCTCACAGCAACCTCAAACTCCTGGGCTCAAACAATCCTTCTGCCTCAGCCTCCCGAGTAGCTGGGACTACAGGCATGCGCCACCCATGCCGGCTTAATTTTTTCTATATATATTAGTTGGCCAATTAATTTCTTTCTATTTATAGTAGAGATGGGGTCTCTCTCTTGCTCAGGCTGGTTTTGAACTCCTGACCTTGAGCAATTCGCCCACCTCAGCCTCCTAGAGTGCTAGGATTACAGGCGTGAGCCACCACGCCCGGCCATTTCTTTTCTTCTTCTTTTTTATTTTTGACAAGAGTATCACCTCAAAAGTATCATTTCCCCATTGAATTATCTTTGCTCCTTTGAACAAATTAATTATGTACGTGGTTGCCCAGGCTGGTCTGGAACTCCTGGGCTCAAGTGATTTTCCTGCCTCAGCCTCCTGTGTAACTGGGACTACAGCCACGCACAACCAAACCTGGCTTGGGTTGATCTGTTTTTGAATTCTATTTTGTTCTATTATGTCATACCACACTATTGTAATGGCTGTAACTTTATACAGTAGTTATATATAGAAATTATAGTAAGTCTTGAAAAGCTTCAAATTTGTTCTTGTTTTCCAAAACTGTTTGATCATTTTGCATTTCCAAATAAGTTTTCTGTCAATTTCTACAAAAAAGCCTGCTGAGATTTTGGTTGGGATTATGTTGAATCTAAAGAACAATTTGGGGAGAAGTGATATCTTAACAATATTGAACATTCTGATACATGAACATTATATATCTCTCCATGTATTAGGTATTTTAAACTTTCTCTCAACTGTGTTTTACAGTTTTCAGTGTATAAATCTTGCTCTTAGAATTCTTTTACAGTCTGCTTAGTGTGATTTCTGCTGGTGCTCTGTATCATAAAAAGAGCAAGAACAGTTACCATATGTGTTCTAAGTACACTGAATTTCAGGAAAAAAGCAAGCAATATGTTAAGAAATGTCCTTAAAAGATGGCTGGTAGAATAAATACCAGAGGGAAGAAAGATACCTGAGATATTAGATATAGACTCATGGACATCATTTTGGATTATTCAAACTGTTTCTCCTCTATCATATGTAGCTTTTCTTGTATAATTCATGATTCTTTTAGCCCTCTAATTTTGGAGGTACATATCTGTAGCTTTTCTATTAATGGAGTTGCAAATAAAGGTAACAATGAAAGTATTCCTGAAATAAATTTGTTCTGTCTTTTAACTTGAAACCACAGGTAGAAAAACCCTGCCTAATTTTTGAGAGTGTCAATGATGTTAGGGAATTCTTGAAGTCATTATTAGTTTTTTTTTTTTTTTTTTTTTTTGAGACAGAGTCTCACTTTGTTGTCCAGGCTAGAGTGAGTGCCGTGGCGTCAGCCTAGATCACAGCAACCTCAATCTCCTGGGCTTGAGTGATCCTTCTGCCTCAGCCTCCCGAGTAGCTGGGACTACAGGCATGCGCCACTATGCCCGGCTAATTTTTATATATATATATATCAGTTGGCCAATTAATTTCTTTCTATTTATAGTAGAGACGGGGTCTCGCTCTTGCTCAGGCTGGTTTTGAACTCCTGACCTTGAGCAATCCGCCCGCCTCGGCCTCCCAAGAGCTAGGATTACAGGCGTGAGCCACAGCGCCCGGCCAATTTTCTTATTTTTTTTTATGTACCAATTCCTCAAAAAACACAAATTACTACCACTCATCTAATATGGAATAGGTAATGTTACTAGCTCTATAATTATTAAGGAAATGGAAGTAATAATGAATCCCTCCCACACACAAAAAAATGAAATCTTAAGGCCCAGATAGTTTCGCTAGAGAATTCTATCAAATGTTTAAATAAGAATTAACTCCAATTCTACACAACTTTACCCCAGAAAACAGAAGACGGCACACTTATTAATTCATTTGATGAAGCTGGTATTTCCCTGATATGAAAAACCAGACAAAAAAGAAAACTACAGAACAATATCCTTTGTGAATACAATTTCAAATATTCTTAATCAAATATTAGCAAATAGAATTCAGCAATATATGAAAATAATTACATACCATGACCAAGTGGTATTTATTCAGGAATGCAAGATTGGCTCAAAATTTGAAAAATCAATGAATTGATATAATCTACCATATTAATGGGCTAAAGAAGAAAAATGACATCATATCAATGGATGCATTTGATAAATTATACATCATTCTTCTTCCTTCCTTCCTTTCTCCCTCCCTCCTTCCCTTCTCTTTCCTTCCCTTCCCTCCTCCTTCCCTACTCCCTTTCCCTTTCCCTTCTAATGGATGTTTTATATACTTTTTTATTTCCACATTTCCAAATGAATATATATCATATATTATTAAATTCTAATAAATATAAAGAGAAAAGAAAGAATAAAGTGTCATTTTTACTAGTAAGTCTTTTGATTTACAAAATGATGATTTGTGCTGGTCTTTAGTTCCAGAAAGCTGACTCTGATTTGGATTACATTCAGTACAGGCTGGAATATGAAATCAAGACTAATCATCCTGATTCAGCAGGCGAGGTAATCTGCAAATAACACCTTTTTTTTAAATCCCTTTTAACAGAATATTTTATAAAAAATTTTCTGATCGTATTTCTAATAGTAATAGATAAGAATTATTAAGTTTGTAGAATCTTAAAATCTTGTGTTGGAAGTTTGGTCATGGCATCCTGGAGAGATTATACCAATAATCAGTGAAAATTATTGCTACTTCCTTTTTAACCTTTAAAAAAAATCATGGAGGTTAGAGGTACAAGCTACTGAAATTCTAAGAGAGAATATAGCTACCTGTAAGGAAGTGGTTCTTCAATAAGTTTGAGGGGAGAAGTCCTGGCAGTCACAATATTCTCTGAGGAAGATGATGATATATTGTTAAATTGGTTTAATTATATGATATGGACAATGATTTTTGCATAAAATTATATAGTTATTCTAAATTTAGGTTGATTAGAAGCATTAACTCTGTTTATATGCCACAAAATCTTAAGTATACATATGTCCATGGGGTAAAAGTAAACGATCTCCAAGCATTATTTGTTAATGTTAATTTACCACTTAAATCATTAATGTATTTTCATAGTAGTTTCCAGGAGACAAGAAATATCATATTTCACAGTTTTCAAAAAATTCCATACAATTAAAACATTTTTTTTGATTATGAAGAAGCATAAAGTAACATTTTATACAAAATTGGGAAAACTTCATGAATGTTCAGTTTTTACTATTTATTTCATAGAATGCCAGAATTCTATGGCAGTGTAGTGTGAACTGTTTTAGCTCCCTAACTAACTTGATTTTTTTCTTTGTCTTTCTGAATGAGGACAAACTAACCATTCTGGTCCAGTGGTAACACCTAATGACTGACTGAAGGACTCATCTGAGTCAATATCTTTCAAGTACTACAGTGGAACATATTTAGTGCTCCAACTTTTCCTCTGTCTTCCATCTCTCATCTTTGTTCCAATTCAGTCATTTTTCTTTTCTACAGCTTTTAAAAAAAAGTTTTATTCAGCTAAAGTTCATATACCATAAAATTTACCCTTTTAAAATATATGATTCAATGCTTTTTTAGTATATTCACAGTGTTGTACAGCCATCACCATAGTAAGTTTATGAACATTTTGATCACCTCAGAAAGAAACCCCATACCCATTAGTAGTTATTCCCTATTACCCTTCCTTGCTGCCCCACCAGCTTCTAGTAACCACAAATCTACTTTCTGTCTTTATAGATTTGCCATCTGAACATTTCACATAAATGGAATCATATAATATGTGGCCTTTTGTCTGGTTTCTTTCAATTAGCATAATATTCTCAAGGTTAATCTACATTGTAGCATGAATCAGCAGTGGTGTGATCATTGCTTACCTAGCCTCCAACCACTGGGCTCAAGCAATCCTCCTGTCTCAGCCTGCCAAGTAGTTGGTACGACCTCCTAATTAAAAAAAATTTTTTTAGAGATTCGGGGCAGGGGGCAATGTTACTCAGGCTAATCTTGAATTCCTAGCCTTATCCAATCCCCTTGCCTCAGCCTTCCTTCATTTCTTTCTTTCTTTCTTTCTTTCTTTCTTTCTTTCTTTCTTTCTTTCTTTCTTTCTTTCTTTCTTTCTTTCTTATTTAATTGGGACGGGGTCTCTAGCTCTGTCTCTCAGGCTAGAATACAGTAGTATCCTGATAGCTTACTGTAACCTCAAAGTCCTGGTCTTAAGTGATCTTCCTGCCTGAGCTTCCTGAGAAGCTGGGATTACAGGTGCGTGCTACCATGCCCAGCTAATTTGGGGTCTCGCTTTTGCTCAGGCTGGTCTTGAATTCCTGATTTCAAGTGATCCTCCTGCCTCGGCCTCCCAAAGTGCTAGGATTATAGGTGTGAGCAACCTCACCTGGTCCCTTCATTTCTTTTTATAACTGAACAATATTCCATTATATGGCTATTCCACATTCTTATCTATCCATCAGTTGATGGACATCTGGGTTGTTTCCACCTTTTGGCACTATGAATAATGCTCCTATGAACATTCATGTACAAGTTCTTATATGGACATGTTTTAATTTCTCTTGGGTATATATGGCCAGGAATGGACTTACTGGCCATATGGTAACTTGTTTAATATTTTAAGGAACCACCAAAATACTAATATGACCAAAGCAGGTCAACCATTTCACATTCTTAGTTTTTAAAAAAAATTATGACAAAATGTATATAATATAAAATTTACTATTTAAATCTTTTTTAAGTATGCAGTTCAGTGGCATTAAGTATATCACATTGTTGTCCAAGTATCATCACTATCCATCTTTAGAACTTTCTCATCTCTCTGAACCAAAACTCTGTACCCACTGAACTAAAACTCACCATTCTTTTTCTTCTCCAGCCCTTAGCAACCACCTTTCTACTTTCTGTCTCTATGAATGTAACTACTCTGGGTACCTAAAATAAGTAGAATCATATGATATTTGTCTTTTTGTGACTTCTTTGAATTAGCATAATGTTTGCTTATTTTACTTAGCAAAATGCTCTCAAGATTCATCCATATTGTAGCATTCAGAAATTTCTTCCAAGGGTGAATAATATTCAATTGTATGTACCACATTGTGTTTATCCCTTCATCTGTCAGTGGACATTTGGTTTGCTTCCACCTTTGGCTATTGTGAATGCTGGTGCTGTGACATTGGTGTACAAATATGTTTTGAGTACCTTTCACTTTTTTTTTTTTTTTTAGCTCTTCTTAACATTTTAAGACACTGCATGTTCCCTAAGTTTCATTTTCTTCCATGGCAGCATCTCTTTTAGTGCTCTGTCCTTCTGCTCCAATATGACCTGCTCTACAGGCCTTCTGCATGCATGGCTGTCTTTCTGGCATTTCTTTACCATCATTTTGGCCTTTGCCTTTATTTTATTCTTGTGTTAGATCATGTTTCACTCTGTCTTGGTTTATTTCCTTGATGTGGTGAAGCATATCCCTTAGAATTGCAGTCCCCAACTCCAGACCTGGACTGATACCAGTCCATAGCCTGTTAGGACTTAGGCTGCACAGCAGAAGGTGAGCGGAGGGCGAGTAAGTAAATCTTTATCTGTATTTACAGCTGCCCAATTGCTTGCATCACCGCCTGAGCTCTGCCTCTTGTCAGATCAGTGGTGGCATTAGATTCTCACAGGACTATGAACCCTAGAGTAAATTGCATTCAAGGGATCTAGGTTGGATGATGCACTCCTTCTGAGAATCTAATGCATGATGATCTGAGGTGGAGCGGAGGCAGTGATGTTAGTGCTGGGGAGCAGCTGCCAATACAGATTATGATTAGCAGAGAGGTTTGACTGCATAGAGACCATAGTAAATTAATTGTTGCAGACTCATCAAAACCCTATCAGTGGCTGGGCACCATGGCTTACTCCTGTAATCCTAGCACTTTGGGAGGCTGAGGCGGGAGGATGGCTCAAGGTCAAGAGTTCGAAACCAGCCTGAGCAAGAGTGAGACCCTGTCTCTACTAAAAATAGAAAGAAATTAATTGATCAACTAAAAATATATAGAAAAAATTAGTCAGGCATGGTGGCACATGCCTATAGTCCCAGCTACTCAGGAGGCTGAGGCAGAAGGATTGCTTAAGCCCAGGAGTTTGAGGTTGCTGTGAGCTAGGCTGATGCCATGGCACTCTAGCCCAGCAACAGAGTGAGACTCCGTCTCAAAAAAAGTTCATTTTAAGAAGACGGAATAGGAAGAAATTAAGGAAAGGAAAGGAGAGTGTCAAAAATATATGCTATATAGCAAGACCGACCTTTTGATTGTTTTAAATAATTTGTTAAAAGATACTAGTCTAATGGGGTGTTAAATTGAGGAAATATATTATTATAGGTTCTAGAAGCTTGGTAATAAATGGAGTGAGAAAAATGAAACTGATTTTGAAGTGACAACAGAATCAAGACAAGGGATTAATTTCCCCCCCATATAGGGAAGATCTGAAGTCAGAACAAAGGGAAATATTGAAAAGGTTATTGATATACAGAGAATTTCAGGTTGGTTCTGGAGGATATGGAGAGGAAATAGTAATAGGAGTGGTAGTGTTAGAAGTTAGTAAGGATGAGAATGTACATAGATGTTTTCATTTGGGAATGAGAAGCCAAGATGTTGGAGTTTCTAATTGATAGTTTCTGTCTTCTTAGCAAAGCAGTTGGTGAGCTCATGTGCCAAGAAGGAGTGGATGGGAATTGGAGGGAGTAGAGAAAGTTTAGAATAGCTGGGAACCATTAGGGAATGAAAAGAATTACTAAGTGGCATAGCTTAAAGTATCTTTTATGGAATAGTGGCTATTTATATTACAAAATGAATTTGAAAAACCAATGTAGTTTATAAATACATGTGAGTTGGCATGAATTTTATATTTTGTATGTATATAAATAAATTAGTATGTAAACATACTTTAGCACCATATAGTATGTTTAAGAATTTTGTAATAAGTGGTTTCAAGTTGTCTTATTATTTAAGAACAAATCAACATAGTGCCTTTAATCTTCTGCTGAATAGCATTTAAAGTTATATTTTAGAAATACTATGTAATTATTGTGAACTATGTATCCAATGTTATATATTTAAAGTAACTTTATTAGCTCTTGAGTCAGTAGCTTAGCTGAGTCAGTAGGATTGCTTGAGCCTCGGAGTTTGAGGTTGCTGTGAGCTAGGCTGACGCCATGGCACTTACTCTGGCCTGGGCAACAAAGTGAGGCTCTGTTTCAAAAAAAAAAAAAGATGGCAGGGATGAAAAGGCCCACTTTCTCTATACCTTCCCTCCATTTCCCATTTCCATCTCATTTAGTGTAAGAATCCTTGTAATTGTGAGCCCCTATCATTGAGATTTTTTTGTGTGTTGTTTCTGAATCTAGGCTATAAATTCCTTGAGAATAGGATCTAGGTCTTATACTCCTTTCTTCTCCACCTCCTATCCTCTGTCACACGATTGCATAGTTAAATACTCAGCAGTGTTCAATTAAATGAATGGTAGACTATGTTGTATATATAATATTTTAATTCTTAAAAATAAGCTTAATTTTTCCTTTTCATAATTTAATGTATACTAACTTTCTTCCTGATATAGAAAAATCCAGTTACACTCTTAAAGGAATTGTCAGCGATAAAGTCTCGATATCAAACTTTGTATGCACGCTTTAAAGCAGTTGATGTTGAGCAGAAAGAGACTAAGAGCCGTATTTGTGCTACTGTGAATAAGACTATGAACATAATACAAAAACTACAAAAGCAAACAGACCTGGAGGTAATGCTTTCAATTGACAGGTTGGATTTGTATAGTTTTAGTTCTGAGTGTTGCTTTGAAAGATAAACCCCCAGTAACTTACATTTTGGAATTCAGCAGTCTATTTGAACTATTGATAGAAATGAGATTTTTCTTCATACCCTGAAGTATAATGGCTTTTATCTTCTTTTATATTAAAATAAGTATATGGACTTGACATGGTTAATGAAAGGTGTGCTGGGCCGGGCCTGCTGGCTCAGGGCTGTAATCCTAGCACTCTGGGAGGCCGAGGCGGGTGGATAGCTCTAGGTCAGGAGTTTGAAACCAGCTTGAGCAAGAGCGAGACCCCGTCTCTGCTAAAAATAGAAAGAAATTAATTGACCAACTAAAAATATATATAGAAAAAACTAGCCGGCATGGTGGTGCATGCCTGTAGTTCCAGCTACTCGGGCGGCTGAGTCAGTAGGGTTGCTTGAGCCTAAGAGTTTGAGGTTGCTGTGAGCTAGGCTGATGCCATGGCACTTACTCTGGCCTGGGCAACAAAGTGAGACTCTGTATAAAAAAAAAAAAAAAAGATGGCAGGGATGAAAAGGCCCACTTTCTCCATACCTTCCCTCCATTTCCCATTTCCATCTCATTTAGTGTAAGAATCTTTGTAATTGTGAGCCTCTATCATTGATATGTATATAACTCTTTAGATATGTTGGCATAGAAACAAATATAATGAGCTGCTAAACTAGCCACTAAGATTTTGAACACAAAACAGAAGGATTTGGCAGCATTTTCATTTACTATTAAGAAAAGGCTGGGACCTTAGAAAGAAAAGCTATATGAGATGGAGTCAAAGAGTAGAACTAGATTATCTGGATGAAGGATCGCCAATCTGTTTTATCTCAGGTACCAACTGCAAATGGTTGCTTAGAGTACTGTATTAAAGGAGCTATGTTTTTATTTGCCAACTCTGAACTAAATTATGGCATAAGATACTTTGAATTATGGGCTTGTAACTAGAGTAAATTTCACAGGTTGACTACCCAGGTCAATTTGTTCTTTTTTTTTTTTTTTTTTTTTTTTTTAACCTAGAACATTTGTTGACCCAGGTCAATTTGATAAAAAATTCTTTACATTGCAAATAGAGGAGGGGAAAAGAGAACAATATGTGGTTAAAACTATAAAATGATACCTTAGATGCATCTGTTCTGTTATGTCACAAGGAGATGAATGGTGGAGGAGGGAAGGGCAATTAAAAAGGCAATAGGGGCCGGGCGCTGTGGCTCACGCTGTATCTAGCTCGTTGGAGGCCGAGGGGCGGATTTGCTCAAGGTCAGGAGTTCAAACCAGCCTGAGCAAGGCGGACCCCGTCTCTACTATTAACAGAAAGAAATTAATGGCCAACTGTGATATATAAATATAAAAAATTAAGCCGGGCATGAGTGGCACATGCCTGTAGTCCCAGCTACTCGGGAGGCTGAGGCAGAAGGATCACTCGAGCCCAGGAGTTTGAGGTTGCTGTGAGCTAGGCTGACGCCACGGCACTCACTCTAGCCTGGACAACAAAGTGAGACTCTGTCTCAAAAAAAAAAAAAAATAAAAAAAAAAAATAAAAAGGCAATAGGTATGGCCAGGCGTGGTGGCTCACGCCTGTAATCCTAGCACTCTGGGAGGCTGAGGCGGGCAGATTGCTGAGGTCAGGAGTTGGAAACCAGCCTGAGCAAGAGCGAGACCCCCATCTCCACTATAATAGAGAAGAAATTAATGGCTAACTAATATATAGAAAAATTAGCCGGCATGGTGGCACATGCCTGTAGTCCCAGCTACTCGGGAGGCTGAGGCAGGAGGATCGCTTGAGCCCAGGAGTTTGAGGTTGCTGTGAGCTAGGCTGATGCCAGGGCACTCACTCTAGCCAGGGCAACAAAGTGAGGCTCGTGTTCTCAGAGAAAAAAAAAAAGAAAAAGAAAAAGGAATAGGTAGACAGAATTTAAAACAGTAATGGTGATGTCACATGGTAATAAATGCAGAAAATGTATATGATAAACTTTCATAAATATAACTCAAATCACATATTCTTCATTGTATGGGATCAAAGCCTGACAAAGAAGCACATAACCTTATTAATTTTTTCTTGAGACAGAGTCTCACTCTGTTACCTTGGGTAGAGTGCAGTGGCATCATTGTAGCTCACTGCACCTCAAACTCCTGGGCTCAAGTGATCTTGCCTCAGCCTCCATAGTAGCATGGGACTACAGGTGTGTGCCTGGCTAATTTTTGTATTTTTAGTAGAGATGGAGTTTCCCTCTTGCTCAGGCTGGTCTCGAACTCCTGAGCTCAAGTGATCCTCCCGCCTAAGCATCCCAGAGTGCTAGGATTATAGGTGTGAGCCATTGCGCCCGGCTCCACAAATCCTGAAGAGAGATTCAGTATAGTTCCAGGTGTACATATCGACATATCTGTATAGAAATCCATAAATTTATTGAAGCACAAAATAAAATTTATTTGGATAAATAAATTTGGATGAATGAACAAAGAGAAAAATGGCATTTTAATAGTTACTACAAATTGCCCTTGCTGGGTATAATAAATAGATGGTATATTTCTATTTGCTACTACAGGTACATCAAAATAGCTATATAGTGATGGGGGATTTCAATCATCTGAATATCTTATAAAGGTCTTCATTAGTTACAAGAAGAAATATCTGGCTGGGCCTATAAACCCAGCACTTTGGGAGGCCAAAGTAAGAAGACTGCTTGAGCCCAGGAGTTCAAGGCTGTAGTGAGCTATGATTATGCCACTATACTTCAGCCTGGGTCACAGAAACCCTGTCTTTCAAAAAAAAAAAATCTGAAATGAGCAATAATTTTGTTCAGGTTTCAGGCAGAAAGCTAAGGGAGCTTTAACTTTGGATCAGGTTAAGGAGAAATGATTGAAAATTAGGTTATAAAACTTGAAAAAGGAGGTCATATTTTAGAATCAGTGATGGTCAAGTGGGGAAATGCTATAATAGGTCTTGAATCTACTACTTTAATGAGAGTAGTGGAAAGTTCAGAGAAAATACAGGTATGATGCTCCATCTTCTCAGAGATGTTTAAGATTAAAAGTTATTATTAAAGCTGGGCACTGTGGTTTATGCCTATAATCCTATCACTCTGGGAGGCTGAGATGGGAGGATTGCTTGAGCTCAGCAGTTTGAGACCAGCCTGAGAAAGAGTGAGACTCCTGTCTCTACTAAAAATAAAAAATTAGCTGGTGGCGTGGGCCTGTAGTTTGAGCTTCTCAGGAGACTGAAGCAGCAGGATCACTTGAGCCCAGGAGTTTGAGGTTGCTGTGAGCTAGGCTGATGCCACTGCTCTCTAACTGGGGTAGCAGAGTGAGACTGTGTCTTCAAAAAAAGAAAAAGCGGGGAGAGGGAGGTTATTAAAATTTTTATGATCCAAATGTGAAAGAAAAAGAAATAACATCTGTAGAGCGTTGTATAACTAGAAATAGTTCTATGAGTACAAAGTTTAAAGGATATGCAAGGTAGAATTTGTAAAGGAATTTCAAATATTAAAAAGTGTTTATGAGTCATAGGGACAAACCTCTGAGCATAGTTAAGAAAATCAAAGGCTGGATTGAGCTGAGGCCTCTCCAATTTTCTAAAATAAACAAAAGGGCCTTTAAAATTATCTTGGGAGCATACAAGAACAAAAAAGGGGTAAGTCTGCTTAGGGCAAATGGTACTTTGTTTAGAGATAACAGAACACACAGCTGTTTAGGTATTATTTTGCTATAACCTTTATCAAAGAGAGTGGTTTTTTATTTGAAAGGGTTGAAAATGTATTCGATTGGATAATATTCAAAAAGAACATTTAAATTGATAATATTAAATAATAAATAGGGAACAGAAAAGGAGACGGGAGAAAGGAAATATTAATTTGCTCATCTTTCTTAGCTGAATTAAGACATTAAAGTTTAAATATACTTAATTATAAAAGTGACCACCAAAAGAAATATAAAGGAGACTAATTTATGTCAAAGCAAAAAAACAAAATCCCCCAACCAAAAATAATAATAAATAATAAATAAAAAAGGCATTAAAATGGAATGTGTGGTATTCCATTGATGCTCCAAAATATTTACATTAAAGAAGAAAAATTTCTACAAACTTTAGGTTGGTTAACTTGACCTTTAGTCCTGGATTTGTTGAGTGTTTATTAAGCAGATGCTCTGACAGCTCTTGTACAGTGATCACAAGGAACAACATGGATTCATTGAGAACAAACACCTCTTGCCAGAATAATATCATTCCCTTTTTTTTGAGGTAGAAAAAGGCAATTTTTTTTTTTTTGAGACAGAGTCTCGCTCTGTTGCCTAGGCTAGAGTGAGTGCCATGGCGTCAGCCTAGCTCACAGCAACCTCAATCTCCTGGCTCAAGCAATCCTTCTGCCTCAGCCTCCCAAGTAGCTGGGACTACAGGCATGCACCACCATGCCCGGCTAATTTTATATATATATATATATTAGTTAGCCAATTAATTTCTTTCTATTTATAGTAGAGACGGGGTCTCGCTCTTGCTCAGGCTGGTTTCGAACTCCTGACCTCGAGTAATCCGCCCGCCTCGGCCTCCCAGAGAGCTAGGATTACAGGCGTGAGCCACCACGCCCGGCCAGAAAAAGGCAATTTTAACTGTTTGGGTTGCAGTAAGGCATTGGATTGCTTTTCTTTTTTTCTTTTCTTTCTTTCTTCTCTTTTCTTGAGATAAGGTCTTGGTCTGTCTTCTTGGGGTAGAATGCAGTGGTGACTTCATAGCTTCACCGCAACTTCAAACTCATGGGCCTGAGTGAGTTTTCTACCTCAGCCTCCCAAGTACCTGGGACTACAGATGTGTGCTACCACACTCAGCTAATTTTCCTACCACACCTAGCTAATTTTCCTATTTTTTGTAGGTATGGGGTCTTGCTTCTTACCCAGGCTGGTCTTTGAACTCTTGGCCTCAAGCAGTCCTCCTGCCTGGGCCTCCCAAAGTGCTAAGATTACAAATGTGAGCCACTGTGCCCAGCCTATGATTGCTTTTCATTTTGTCCATGTGAACATGTTGGGCAAATGTGAGTGATCAGTCAAATCAATTGCATGTAAGAATCACATAGGTTCTGGAACTGCTCTGGAGCTGGGTTGTCCGATTTATATAGGCCACATGTGGCTATATAAATGTATATTTATAGTATTAAATATACATTTAACATTAAATAAATGTTTAAAATTAAGTTCTTTAATTTATTTTTTAATTTTATTAATATTATTTTCCCGAGCTAGGGTGCCGTGGCAATCAGCCTAGCTCATGGTAACCTCAAACTCCTGGGCTCCAGTGCCTCCTACCTCGGCTTCCCGAGTAGCTGTGACTACAGGTGTGTGCAACCATGCCTGGGTAATTTTTTTAGTTGCCTGGCTAATTTTTTTCTATTTTTAGTAGGGATGGGGTATCACTCTTGCTGAGGCTGGTCTTGAACTCCTGACCTCATGTTATCCTCCTGCCTCGGCCTCCCAGAGTACTAGGATTATAGGTGTGAGCCACCATACCCAGCCTAAAATTAAGTTCTTTATCTACCCATTGGACAGTGCAGAGATAGCATATTTTCAGCATGATGGAAAGTTTATTGGACAGCACTGCCCTAGAGATTCTGATTCTGTAGGTCTGGGGTGTTCTAGATTTGGCAGTCTCTCTAGAGATGACCTATATAGTTAGGCAGATTTATAACTACTTGAGTGATACTTTAGGTTGTACCTCCTATTAATTCCCCATGTAACCCTTTGTTTCAGCCAGCCTGTTATTAGTGCTCTGTGAAAGTCCCTTACAACTTCCCATCAGCTTCCCTTCTTTCTTTTGCTTTTGCTCCTACCTTCTTTTTGTAGATACTGTGGCTGGTTGTTTTCTCAGCATCTGTTCTCCTTTCCTGACTACTGGAATACAGTCATGCCCTGCGTAACAATTTTTTTTTGTTTGTTTTGTTTTGTTTGAGACAGAGTCTCACTTTGTCGCCCAGGCTAGCGTGAGTGCCGTGGCATCAGCCTAGCTCACAGGAACCTCAAACTCCTGGGCTCAAGCAATCCTACTGCCTCAGCCTTCCAAGTAGCTGGGACTACAGGCATGCAGCACCATGCCCAGCTAACTTTTTCTATATATATATATATTAGTTGGCCAATTAATTTCTTTCTATTTTTAGTAGAGACGGGGTCTTGCTCAGGCTGGTTTTGAACTCCTGACCTCAAGCAATCTGCCTGCCTCAGCCTCTCAGAGTGCTAGGATTACAGGCGTGAGCCACCACGCCCGGCCCATAACAAAGTTTTTGGTCAAGGATACAATGGTGTTCCCTTAATGTTATTGTACCATATTTTTAATGTGCCTTTTCTATGTTTAGATACACAAATACATAATCATTGTGTTACATTTGCCTACAGTACTCAATACAGTAATATGCTGTATAGCTTTGTAGCTCAGGAGCAATAGGCTATCCCATATAGTAGGTATGCTTGTTGTTAAGCAATGTGTGACTTGACTGCACTTTCTTGCTATGACTGTTGTCTCTCACAGGCATGTGCCTGGGGTGAATCTGGCCCCATCCTCAGCTTCAGGGGTTTCTCTGATTGTCAAGGGGAATGGATTTTCCTTTAACTAACACTGGTTCAGGAATGAGTTTGTAACCTAAATGACATGAGAGGAAGAAAAGTCTAGAAGTAGGTTAACTAGGAAAAGTTTCCTCACTACTGAGAGAACCCTTGGAAGAGAAAGCATCTCTATTCTCCCCGACAGTGTGTGTAGCTGTGATACCTAACACTGTTAGAGCCATTTTGCTGTCAGCTTGAGGGTAAAAGCAGCATCAAGAATATCAGAGCTGTGAGATGAATAAAACCAAGTCCTCACATTGATAAGCTGCTGAATAAGTCAGCCCTGAAGTCTTTCCTTCTTCTGAACTTACTGTGCAATGATAATAAATTTTATTATTCATCAATTTTGAAATGTTTCTATTACTTGCAGCTAAAAGCATCTGAAGTCTTCAGAATTTAGCCCAAGTCTCTACTTCACTGAGAAAATTTTCAGTTTTTGTTCATATCTTTTTCAAAGTACAGTCAGCCTTCCATATCTATGAGTTCCACATCCATGGATCAAAAATATTCAGAAAATATTCTATATTATAACCTTATGGGACCACCATTGTATCCTTGACCAAAAATATTTAGATGGTTGCCTCTATACTGAAAATGTATACTTTTTTCCTTGTCAGTGTTCCCTAAACAATACAGAATAACAACTGTTTACATAGCATTTACATTGTAGTAGGTATTTAAGCAACCTAGAGATGATTTAAAGCATACAGGAGTATGTGCCTAGGTTATATGCAAATATGACACTATTTTATATAAAGGACTTGAGCACCTGTAGATTTTGGTATCCTGGAGCCAATCCCCACAGATATTGAGGGACAACTGTACTTTTAGAATATGGCATCCAAACATGACTTCTTTGGTTCTGTTATAGTCCTTAAATTGTTTGACTTCTTGGTCTGTTTCTTCACCTTATTTATAATTGTAAATTTTTCAGAAATTCACACATCGCAGTACCTGTATATAGATAGCCAAATATCTATTTTTCCTTGCCTTCCTAAATTTGTGATTATATAGTATAAGCTTATGGAAACATTTATTGGTGTGACAGAGCTGAACTTAACTAATTTAACAGCCTTTAAAGGTTTTTGAAATAAAGATTTTGTCATTTGTTTTCTAGCTGACACCAGTGACTGAAGAAGAGAAAACTGCAGCAGAGCAATTAAAATCTCATATGCCAGACTTATGAAGAAATGGACTTCCAATAGGGAACTCTAATTGAGAAGAAATCAATTCCATGGCTTACATAGTTTTAGAAAATTGTTGCTGCCCACTACTTCTAAGTCCAAATGCCTGCTATTGAATAATTTCTTTCTAGATTGTTAATGATTCTCTACATGTGCACTCTAGGTTAAGTATAAGAAGTAATTGCTTGCAATAAACAGAAAGGAAAAATTAAATTCAAATTAAGAATTTGATGTACGTCCTTGGTCTCACACCTTCAATAATGCATTCTTTACACATCTCTTCTGGAAGGAAAATTGTAGAAAGCAGATCCCCATTATAGGAAAGCTGAATATAGCTGATACCATTTTGCCCTTTCAATAAGTCCATGGCTACAGCTCAACTCAAGTGGCAAGAAATGAAGGATGGGGTGTGGGTCTGACATCTTCACAGTCTGTGGGGCCCATCTTTTTTTTTTTTTTTAAATCTTTTAATAAAAATATTTACTTGTATTATTTTTTTTTTTTTGTCTTTTTTTACTTGGAAGCATTGGGAGAAGATGTGGGGCACATCTTACCACCAAAATGAGAAATGTCACCTCTCCAGGCTTCACAATTTGGAGCTTTCTAAGTTCATTTGCTTCGATAGGTGGAACAGAAGTCTTAAAAACCTTAGAATCTGTCTTTCAGAGAAAGAGAACAACTAACCACTAATCCTCTGCACCAGGTTTCTCAAAGTGCGGGTCCCAGATCACCTGCAATCCACTCACCCAGAGTGGCTGTTGAAAACGCGGATTTCTTGGGCCCCACCTTAGAATCTGGGAGTCGGAATAGCTAAGGGGTGTGGCTCCGAAGTCGGCCTCCTCCACCCGCACAGCGGGAGGCTTCTCATGTCTTTGGCGCGAGAAGTTTGAGATCCTCGGGGTTCCGCCCCGAGGGGGGCGGGGCGCTGCGAAGCGCCACGCTCCCGCAGCCCGCGCCGGCTGCGCCCCAAGGCACGCAACCCTGGGAAAGCTAGCCGCCAAGTCTCGTGTGCGCCCCCTCACCGCGGGAACTAGATGCCCGCCTCCCGCGCATGCGCGCTGCGCTTTCTTCGCCGCCGCGCCTCCAGCTGCCCTGGTTACGGTTGGTGTTTGCGAATTCTCTGCAGCGCCTTCCTCGCTTGAGACCTGCGTCGCCCGGCTACCGGCGACGGTTCGATACGCGCGCGCCCGTGTCACGTGGGCCAAGGCGCCCTCGCGGTTGCTGGCGGGCTGCTAAGCCGGGAAGAAGCGGCGGTCACCGCTCGCTCTGCCTCTGCGCTCCTGGGCGGGCGCTCGGGTAAAAATGGCGAAATGGGGGTAGCGGCCGCCGAACCTGAAGCGATGGGGCGCGCAGGTGGGGCGGTTGTCGGAGCCCCCTGACGTGTGCGCCGGGCTTTCCTCGGCGATTTGACCTGGCGACCTCGGGCCGTAACCTAAGAGGTCAGACTACAGAGTCCGCGGGTCGCCGAGGGCCCCGCTCAGAGCCGGAGGCAATGGATGAACAGAGCGTGGAGGTGAGGGGGTTGAGGAGAGTGGTGGATTAGTCTCCCCCTTCTATCCCAGGAGCGTTTTGTATTCGGGATGCCTTGCCCTTGTCCTCTCTCCAGGAAGTCACCCCCACACCGCCCCTGCGGCTGTGAAGAGGGCTGGGCCGGTGGGGCGACGACGTGTTCTGTCTGCAGCCCTCCAGGTGTCTTGTGTTTAGACTGTTCGGCAGTCTAGTGGTGCGTATTCTAGCGTTTTCAAGGATGTCTTGGCACCTAGGTGGTCATCTCCACCGGGTATTTGTAAACTATAGCCTGTGCAGAGCAAAACTGCAGATTCATCAGATGAATGTACCCTGAGATTCGCCACCAGTTCCTGCGAGTTGATGAGCTGATCCAAATCTCCCTCCGAATGGATAATCATCTTTCAGCGGTACATTTTGCAGGCTTCTGCCCTTCCCAGATTGAATGAGCATATACTTGTACTATCTCATTCTAGCGTAGTTTTCAGAACAGATTGTTTTTATATCGATTCTTCTAAGCTGTGACTTCAGAGGGTTGGGATATTTATGTAAGGGCTAGGAACATAAGAAAACAGTATGTTAATTGGACATATATGTAATCACTGTCAAATTCTGGACCTTTCAAATACTGAAATACTAAATTCTTCTTAGTAAGGGGTATGTTACTGTTACTGCACTTGAAACTAATCCAATCAATACTCTTGTCCACCTGGTCGTCGGTTATAGAACCTGCATCTGGCAGGTTCTTTCTGGCCCTGCAGAATCATGATTAGACTCACGGGTAATTTTATCCTTGATTCCTCATGTGAAAGTGTTATAAAGTTTCTGTGAACTTTAGTTTTAGGAGGATCTAATTCTCCTGGAATGGCATAAAATAAATGTCAGTACTGTAAAAACTTAAAATATTCAATAACAATACATTTAATTAACATCTATTTTCTTGTTTTAACTTGTCAGTTACTTCCTAAATTTATTAAACTGAGGCTTGGAAAGATAGTATCGTTTCTTCTGTTTTTATTTTTTGTTTTATTATTTTGTTTGGAGGCAGGATCTCTGTCACCCAGGCTGGAGTCCAATGGCATAATCATAACTCATTATAACCTCAAACACCTGGGCTCAAGCGACTTTCCTGCATACAGCTTCCCAAGTATCTAGGATTACAGGCTGAAGCTGCCACACCTGGCTTTTCTATTTCCATAATTTTTTTTTTTTCTTCCCAAGTCCTCATAAAGCTACCACCAAAGTTTTCAATAGAGGCAGAAACTTAGGTTCAAATAAGTAGCTAGTTGATTGTAGCATCAGGAAATTCAAATTTCTGGATTCTGAATTAGTTTCTCTCTGCATCAAAGTACACTGCCATTGGGATAAGTGTCTTTTATTTATTTATTTTTTATTTTTTGAGACAGAGTCTCGCTTTGTTGTCCAGGCTAGAGTGAGTGCCATGGCGTCAGCCTAGCTCACAGCAACCTCAAACTCGTGGGCTCAAGCAATCTTCCTGCCTCAGCCTCCCGAGTAGCTGGGACTACAGACAGGCATGCGCCACCATGCCTGGCTAGTTTTTTCTATATATATTAATTGGCCAATTAATTTTCTGTCTATTTATAGTAGAGACAAGGTCTCGCTCTTGCTCAGGCTAGTTTCTGACTCCTGACCTCCAGCAATCCGCCCACCTCGGCCTCCCAGATTGCTAGGATTACAGGTGTGAAATAAGTGTCTTTTTAAGACTTTTTTCCCCCTCTAAGTTATAAAAACAATTTATCCAGTTTGGGGAAATTGCAGAAAAAGTAAATAAGTTCTTAATGCCCTTTTTTGCATACTGTTATACATCATAAGCATTTTTATGTTTCATTAAGTCAAGAACTATTTCTAGTGACTATCATGATCTATGTGTAACTGCCATGATTTACTTAATAATTGGGCATGTGGGCTATAGCCAGATTCTTGTCGTTATGAGTAATGTTTTGGTGAAAATATTTTTACATAGGTCTGTGTTTGCATTTTGTATCTTTTCCTTAGAATAGTATCATCCTGAAGCTTAGAAAAAAGGAAGCACATTTTCTAGGTTATGTTCTCAGGTTCCTGGACCTTGACTAAGCAAGTCATGCTATGGAATATAGTTAAAACTGAGATATCAGACCAAAATAAATGTAAATGTCAAGTTATTTTTAGCATGCTTTTTACTCTTGATTCAGTAGCCTAATCTGGTGGACCTTACATCTTATTTTCAGAGCATTGCTGAAGTTTTTCGATGTTTCATTTGTATGGAGAAATTGCGGGATGCACGCCTGTGTCCTCATTGCTCCAAGCTTTGTTGTTTCAGCTGTATTAGGGTAAGTTGTATTTCTTTACATGCATTTAGTAAATATAGAATATATTGTAAAGTGCTCGCTTCGGCAGCACATATACTAAAATTGGAACGATACAGAGAAGATTAGCATGGCCCCTGCGCAAGGATGACACGCAAATTCGTGAAGCGTTCCATATTTTTGCACCTAAGTGGACACATAGGTGCTACAGTAATAGGGTATTGGGCAGGTGGGAGGGGGGAGGGGGGCGGGTATATACATACATAGTGGGTGAGATGTGCACCATCTGGGGGATGGTCATGATGGAGACTCAGACTTTTGGGGGGAGGGGGGAAATGGGCATTTATTGAAACCTTAAAATCTGTACCCCCATAATATGCCAAAATAAAAAAAATAATTAAAAAAAAAAAAAAGAATATATTGTAAGGACTATTTCCCTTTTTTTATATTGTGCATTTTGTGCCCTTTTAAAAAATGTCTTTTAAATGAATGTTCCTTAATAGACCACCAATTTGTGGAGATGAATAAATGTTAAATGATAACTGCCATGAAATGTCTAAGATAGCTGGGTGCCTCTGGAAAGAAAGCCCACTGTAATTTTAAAATAATTACATTATTAAATTCACTGCACATTTAACAAATACTTATAAAGTGCTTGCTTGTATTGTGATTGATGTTGAAGGATGCTAAGATAAATGTGATAAAGTGCTGGCCTTGAAGAAGTTTAAATCTAATTGAGGGAATGGACTTAAGTAATTATATTGAAGAATGTGTAGTATCATAAAGAAGCATTTAAAAAGTGTTGTGGGTTGCTAAATTTGACTGGTTTAAAAAAAAAAAAGTGCTGTGTGGCTCAGAAGAGAGTGAGGTTATGCTTTTTTTTGAGAGACAGTATCTGTCTGTTGCCCAGGCTAGGGTGCCATGGTGTTAGCCTAGCTCGCAGCAACCTCAAACTCCTGGGCTCAAGTATCCTCCTGCCTCAACTTCCCCAGTAGCTGGGACTACAGGTGCATGCCAACATGCCTAGGTAATTTTTTCTATTTTTAGTAGAGATGGGTCTTGCTCTTGCTTAGGCTGGTCTCCAACTGCACACCTCAAGTGATCCTCCATATCTTGGCCTCCCAGAGTGCTAGGATTACAGGCATGAGCGACTGAGCTTGGCATATACATAACTCTTGTGCCCAAGTAATCCTCCTGCCTAAGCCTCCCAAGTAGCTAGGACTACAGGGAAGACCACCACACCCAGCTAATTTTTATGTTTTTAGTAGAGACAGGGTCTCACTCTTGCTCAGGCTGGTCTTGAACTGCTGAGCCCAAGCGATCCTCCCATCTCATCCTCTCCGAGTTAAAAAGATTACAGGTGTGAGCCGCCACTCCCAGGCTATAGTACTCTTAGATTGTTTTCTTTATTGAGGAAATCAAAGCCATCTGACATGCTCTTCACCTCAAAATTTCTGTATCGTTATTCTTGCCTAAGGCAGGTAAATATCCTTTTGTCAAGAGTAATGTCTAACAAATTTTCTTCCAATCGCACAGCTAGCAAATGGTGGTGTTCTATTTGAACCCAGGAAGACTGGCTCTAGAGCCTGTATTCCTTGCCACCACACCATGTGTAGAAGACCTAGATTGCAAATGATGTTAGTTCTCATGCTCATAAAAGGAGATTCCATCTTTCTTAGAGTTGTTTCCTCAGCTGTAGAATTCATATAACTAGATCTGTCTCACGGGATTGTTGTGATGTTAAATGAATAAGCTCAAAAGTAATTTAGAAATTATAAAGTACTATCCACTTGTGAGGTATCAGATCATCTAGCTGTTAAAATAGCAACTAATACACATAGCATTTATCACATTTTATAAATGATGAAACTGAAGCTAGCGAGATTAAGTAATTGACCTCCATCTCTATGGTTTATTAACTGGTAGAGTCTGGAGCTGAACTCAGTTCTTTTGATGACAGTCCTTTATGCTTATGGCCTCTGGTTATTATACCTCATTGATTGTGTGTTTCTTCATTGTAACTGCTGCTTCCTCCTGTCCCCTAAATGAATTTATTTTTTAGCTATTGCTGCTGGCATTCTCTTCTCTGAGGTTACTGGGAAAATTCATCTACTCTGGGAAATTTGATTTACTTTTGCACCTTTACTATCATCTTTATGTGTATGGCTCCTAAATGTATTCCTTCAGTGTTGACTTTTAGATATTTTATCTGGTTGTCCTTCTAGCATCCTGAACTTTGTTCAAGATCAAATTATTCATATTCTCAAAATTGACTCTTCCTTACCATTTTCTCAAACAGAACTACTTTCTTTTCTGCCAGGCACTCACACTGGTTACACCCATGATTTTTTTCAGTTGTGTCAGTTATTCTCTTCTAGTGTCACTTCTGTCCACTACTTTTTCATTTCTTTTATTACCATTGTGATAGAGAAATGTGAGCGTATATTACTTCATGCTTATATTATAGTTTCTTTTCTTTCTTCTTCTTTTTTTTTTTTTTTGGAGATATAGTCTTGCCCTATTGTTCTGGGTAGAGTGCAGTGGTGTCATCATAGCTCATTGCAACCTCAAACTCCTGGGCTCGAGCTATCCTCTTGCCTCAGCCTCCTGAGTAGCTGGGACTACAGGTGTGTGCCACAATGCCCAGCTCATTTTTCTGTTTTTAGTAGAGATGGGGTCTCAATGCTCAGGCTGGTCTTGAACTCCTGAGCTCAAGTGATCCTCCTGCCTTGGCCTCTGAATCTTAGGATTATAGGCATCAACCACCGCGCCCCTCCTATAGTTACTTTATTTCTCTGCTTTAGTCTTTACTTACCTCCTTCAGTCTTTTCTTACCTACTTTTGTGTCCTGCCGTGTCCTGCTGCTATCTTAATGTTTCCATTAATGTCATTTTCCCCCCAGAAGCCTCAGAGATCGATTGTCTGAAGTATAAAATCCCAGAATGTTAGCCTTGCCAGGTGTGGTAAATTTACCCATCCCCTCCTTCCACCTGCCTGATACCTGGTGAATGTTACTTCCATTTGTACACATGTGTTAATCAATTAGTACTAATTTAATAGTGAGTACGTGTGTGTGTTTTTCCATTCTTGTGTTACTTCACTTAAAAGAAGGGGCTGCAGCTCCATTCAGGATAGTACAAGAGGTGGTTCACCTTTTTTTATGGCTGCGTAGTACTCCATGATACACATATACCACATTTGTCAATCCACTCGTGTATTGATGGGCACTTTGGGTTGTTTCTACATCTTTGCAATTGTGAATTATGCTGCTATAAACATATGAGTGCAGGCGTCTTTTTTTTCTTTGGGTAAATACCCAATAGGGGGTCACCCCATTGTTCTTATTGAGTTTTTTTTTTACCCCTTGATTTTTCAGCTTTGGTGGCACTTTTTATGTTTGCCTACAATTATTGACTTTGTTTTGTTTTAATTTTGCTAGTCATTTTTTATTAGGTATAATTACAACTACACATATTTAAAGTGTACAGTTTGATAAATTCTTTAAATTTATTTTTTACTTATTTTTTCACCACCTAATTTTTGAGGGAGAGTTTGATAAGTTTTGACATATGTATCCACTTGTGAAACTGTCAATACAATCAAGATAGTGAATGTTATCTGTCCTCCCCTAAAGTTTCCTTGTGCTTCTTGGTCTACTTGCCTTGTCCCCAGGCAACCACTGATCTACATTTTTGTCACTGTGGATAAGTTTGCATTTTCTGGAATTTTTTTTTTTTTTTTTTCAGGGGAACTCAGACTGTGAGCTCCTACCCGCCCACCTCCCAGGTGCTGCTGGCACGGTGTTCCCAGGAGAAAGGTGCCCACTCAGAGCTGAGAGACATAGACCCAGCTTGGGCTCCTGTGGTGAATTGGGACGGAAATCCTCTCCGTGGTGGGATACAGTTTGAACTCTGGGACCTAGAGGTCGGACCTGCAGACCAGATCC